CCGGAAAGACTCTGGAGGAATCGACTGGATTTGCGACGCTTTTCCGTCGCAAATTATGCAAATTAGGTCAGTTTTGTTTTTACCGCTTTAGAGCATCAAAATGACAAAAAAGAAGAAGGTTTAGCACACAACTTCGTTTAGGAACAGTATTGACACCTTTTTAAAAACATAAATGTGTGAAAACATGTGTGGTTATGCGATAAAAGTATGATATTTTTGATCAAACAGGCGAGCGTGCGCTAAAACCGACTTGAAATCAATGCGCGCTTGCGTCATTTTCAACCAATCACGAATCGAGAAATAACGCATTCCTCCAGAGTCTCTCACGTATTGACATCCGCTGGATGGCAAAAGTGTGGGCTCTGGGTACGAGATTGCTCTGGAGGAAACAATTTTTTCTCGATTCGTGATTGGTTGAAAATGACGCGAGCGCGCTCTAAAGCGGCAAAAACAAAATTGACCTAATTTGCATAATTTGCGACCCAGAGTCTTTCCGGCGTCAGCATACCGCTGACATTAGTCGTGAAGACTCTGGGCTCACCCGTTTCTCATGTTGTAATCCAGTACTTACTACTACTTGTCAGCAGCTGTTCCCAGTAGTTACTACTTCTTGTATGCTGTTGTTGTATCCTAGAACCCAGTTCCCGCTCGAGAATTATAAAATTGTTGTTCGTGTTTCCTGTTTTCTGGTCTCGTGTATACCGTAGTAGTTTAATCGCTTATTTACTTCATCGATGATTCAAGTTAGGTATTCATTGTTANAGAATAATGCCTTCACATTATCAAAGAAACTCGGCATGGCCGTCAAAATATACCAACGCACGTGTTCATATAGGGAAACCTTTAGTGCAAATCGTTTTAATACATTTAAAGTTTGTAGGGTTTTGCCATTCCGTTTGGATTAGCCTTCAATGAATGGAATACCTACCTTAATATTATCGAAAATATATCCAAAAATATAGAAATATAATATCCAAAAACAATAGAAAAATTATTGCCTTTCGAGAGTATATCTGACTCGCCGGAAAGAGAACGCAGGGAACCCAAACAGACGTTTTGTGATTTGTGAAGGAGAACTGGGCACTAGTGATACAACCAGTACAAGCACTAGTAACTACTGGGAACAGCTGCTGACAAGTAGTAGTAAGTACTGGATTACAACATGAGAAACGGGTGCTGGGCTCGAGATTGCTCAGAGTCTCTCATGCATTGACATCCGCTGGATGGCAAAAGTGCGGGCTCTGGGTACGAGATTGAAATGCCCCAAGATGGCGTCCAAGGAAATAAAAGGTTTGCTGAAAAATGCCCGGGAATCCATACGCAATAAAGAATTTAAAGACGCACTTAAGCATTGTAAGGTAAGGAAATTCAGTTCATATGTTGAGACATATACATGTAGTCTAATCTTGATTAGTATACGTATGTTGCTGTAGAACTTTTACTAATATTCCCGTACAGCTGCTCAAGTTATAATTTAACTTATAAACTTTATTAAGAGAAGACCCATTCCTTTAAATACAGCAATTGCAGAAATTATGATCTTTTTGACTCATATTCAAAGTATAATAAAAAATAAATCAAATTCAGACATTTGTAAGTGCTATAATGCTAGGCAACTAAGATCGGCGATTATATGAAATAAACCTTGAAATTCTAGTTTTCAAAAAAAAACAACAAACAAACAAACAAACATAATATATGTGCTATATATTTATTATAGTCTCTTGAATGTTAATAAATCTCCTGATGAGTGAGTCGACATAGTCGACTTACAAAACAGTTCTGTAGAGAATAATATGGTCTGATCATTTCTCTTCCTCTCTCTCTCTCTCTCTTTTCGTGTCCACCTAAAATGGTACAACGGTTGGTTATGATAATCTTTAAAAATGTGCTTTAGGAAAATGTAGAAACATAGAAAAAGTTCATTATCAACTCTTATTGGCCTCACTAAACATCTCATTGATGAACTACAAACTGTTTCAAATGCTTCAGCATATCAAATTGCTGACAAGGACTGTCAAAGCATGTCCATATCAATCATGCTGCTCATCAAATAGAGTATAAAATATTTGCAAGTATAGTTTACACCATGAGTGGCCGTGTTGTATGGGAAATGCAACCTTGAGCCTGGCACAGGCGAGAGATTGTAATTCCCATACAACACGGACGCGAATGTTGTAAACGACTTATAAAGCTCAAACACTAATTAACATGAATTACAGTGAGATGAATGACGAAAAATGAGGTAACTGCTGAGTTTAGTCGCTATTAAGCATGTGCAATTTACTGCAACACAGGACATGAATTGGATAATTATCCATCCCACATGGAAAGCAAGCCATCTGTTGCATAAGCAAGTTCTGTTGTCCGTCTTTGATTGCTTCAAAACCTAGTGAAGGCCTATGATGCGATACTAAAACTGAGACCTTTTCCAGTGTTGGGTTGTCTCGAGGTGACGACCATGTTGTAAATCCTATACAACACTAGTGTTGTATCACAGTGTTGTATTAGAAGATTTACAAGGTCAATCACCTGATTAAATGGACAGCCCTTATTGGAGTAATACCTCATGCATTATTAATAAGTTTTATAATGATATTTAAAGCACACAATAGTCTTATGATTAATTATATTTCATGAATAGTCTCTGTTATTCAACCTTTTTCTTCTTTCCTATTCAACTAAAGRCATAGAGGATATTACATGGGGGCACGGAGATACGGATTTTATCTTCGAGTGTTGAAGAGATTTTCAACACGAGAAGATAAAATTCGTATCTCCAAGCGACCATGTAATATTCTGTTTATCATATAATTACATATGCTGTAAAATACCTTTTTTCTTAACTCCACTATATAAAGAAACCCTGAATGTGTTATTTTCACTAGTGAAAATATCAATTTTACGAAATGGAGAAATATAGTATTTCATAGACAATTATATGATAAATAATTATATAATACCGGCTAAGGATTGTGAGAAAAGGGTTTTAAACTGTTAAAAGGAGAACATTTAATGGAATGTACAAGGACTATAGAGAATAACAAATGACAAAAAACAAATTGAATTGATTGACTGTTACAAAAACACTAAAAACAATAAGAAAAGACAATGATAGTCTGCATTTTGTATGTATAGTTTACAACATGAGCGGCCGTGTACGTGAATGTTGTAAACGACTTATAAAACTCCAACACAAATTAACATGAATTACAGTGAGATAAATGACGAAAAATGACAAATAAGGTAACTGCTGAGTTTAGTACCTATTAAGCATGCGCAATTTACTGCAACACAGAACATTTTGAATAATTATCCATCCCACATGGAAAGTAAGCCATCTGTTGCATAAGCGAGTTCTGTTATCCGTCTTTGATTGCTTCAAAACCTAGTGAAGGTCTATGATGCGACACTAAAACTGAGACCTTTGCTAGTGTTGGGTTGTCTCAATGGTGACGACCGTGTTGTAAATCTGATACAACACTAGTGGTTGTATCAGATTTACAAGGTCAATCACCTGATTAAATGGTCAGCCCTTATTGGAGCAATAGCTTATGCATTATTAATAAGTTTTGTAAGTGTTAACACAGTTGATTAAAGTCAACTTGACTGTATGTTTATGATGTCAGTGATTATTTGCTTCTATTTTAAGTCAAGTCATGGTGTTTTATTGCATTGTTAGTAAATGGACTCATGACTGTATGGTTTGAACTCCACTGAATCCTTCAATACAGTCTTAGCCTTAAATCTTATTACTCAGAAAGGAAAAAAAAACTTCAGAATCATTTTGAAATAATATTTTGACCAAATTAAAAGTGTGCTAGCTTGACCTCATGTGCTAACAGTAATTTTGAGAGTTTCAACAATAATAAAACATATTTTTGAATACACATTTTGCAGAATTATTCAGGAAGGTTGTAGCACTAATGTGCTTGATTTCATACTAAATACAGTTTTCATTGTTATTCAACTTGCTTTTTATAACATGCTTCAATCTAAAAGCYGGGGAGGGCTTTGGAATACAGCGGGGAAATATGGGGTATGTATGAAGGATGTTTTGAAACGCATCGGGATGTATTAAAATACATCCCTCCTGTTCAGAATAGCCCAGGTTTGATATATCAACTTACAAAAAATTTAGTACGAGGCTCACACTACTTACTGAGTCTTTTGTACATCGATATATCAAACCTGGGCTATTCTAGCAGCAACATTTTTGAATAATCTTAACAACAATACAGCATAAATGTGCAATTTTTAAACACTACGTGCACATTTTTTAGCTATAATGCTTCTCTTCTTCTTTAAATCTTTTCTTTGAGGACGAAGACGTTTCAAACGCTTTTGTAATCACTATCTTGGAAGATATACTAGGATGTTGATACTTTTGCAATGATCTACATTAAAATRAAATATCTTTTCAATGGGATTTTGAAACCATGGTGCTATATATTCTAAATACATTTGTAAATAAAATTCAAAAAAGTTACCCAAAAATCATAGAGCAGAATTGTCGTGAAACATATAATAGAACTAGAAAAAGAATTACTCTGGTCTCTACAGTTCATTTGATGACAGTCTAATATCAAATGGTAAAGCTCTCCATATTTTAGGTCCAGTATAGTAAAAGCACGGTCACCTGATTTTGAAATGGATCTTTGGATAARATCTGAGTGAGTTTGTATCTTCTTGCTGGCTGTGTATGAAGTCCAGAAAGTGGTTTCCTGCAGTATCTTTCTGTGTATTGGACACAATGTATCTCCATTATAATAACACCCTAGCTTTATAACTGTAAGATACCTGCTGGATTCCAACTGTTGAATTGCATAACCAAAAACACTTGTCAATGTACGTCTCAGTTTYAATCTCTCAATAAAAATAGTCATTGGTTGGCTATCAGTAATTTTGATGCTGTTTATCATGTTTTCATGCATAGTCAGATGGTTGCTTGGATTATGAGTCATCTTTCGGTATTTTGCTAACTATTTAATTAATTAGCTTCATATCAACTGCAGGGTGTACTTAAGCTAGACAAAGCCAACTATAATGCCTTGGTATTTATTGGAGTTTGTGCAAAAGAGATGAATCAACCTGACCAAGCCCAGGCAGCTTATAAGAGAGCTATAGAAACTGATGACAGTCAGTTGTTAGCTTGGCAGGTAAGCCAATGTCATGGTGTTAAATGTAAAACAATTAATCCTGTTTTGAAAATTGCAGTCAGGATTCATGGTAATAATAATAATAATTTATTTATTAATTTAATTTTTTATGAAGATTGAGTTTTTCGTCTCTGCCTTAGATACTTGTTACATGTAATTGCGATTTCAATCATACGTTTCGATCTTAGTCCTTGAACATATTTATTATATTTAGCTTAGCTMAAAAATGTTATGTATGTTTACGAGAATTTTGTACGCTGAATTTATTGACTAAAGATTTTGTTCAGTTGTCAAAAAAGCAATAATAACAAGCCCTAAGGGAATACAACTTCGCCTCAACACCAAGCAACGATGTCTCGGGAGTGCAATTTATGCAAACATTAACTTCAACTAACCAAATACCAAATAGTAAACTATTGCCATTGATCTCCCCCCTATACGTGAGAAATGGAGGTATTGCTTTCTCCTTGATAAGGTAGAGACATCGCTACACCATAGTAACTATGGCTACACCACACCCATACTCATACGCCCATACTCAACGCGCAACCCATACTCAGTCCCTAGAATCGAAACACGTCTTAAGTCCCAGTCTACCCCTACTAATCTAACGGTAACCGACGTTTGGCGGACGAGGGAGGAAAGGCAGATACAAAGTTTTTTAGTGAGTTCAAGTCTTGATACATCTCTACGGCTTCGCTGGCACCATCATTTTGCGACGACAGGAGAGATGAAGGTCATGCCTGTCTGAGAACCTCTGCCAGCTTCATATAGTACAGAGCCGTCTGGTCATTCCTCCATCCCACATGGCCCATGATATCAGCCAATTGTGCCCCAGAGAGTACCAATGTAATAGCACACCTTCATCGGCGTTCATCTCCCTGAGGTAAAGCTTTAGCCGTTGTTGCATCGTGTTGCCGACTAACGGTTTGTCGATTATGTTACCTTGTGGGGATGTTGGTTTAAAGAGGTATCCTTGAAAAATGTCAATCTCCAATTGTCGGCAGACTTCGACGTACGTCTCTATAGCTGCTACGGGGCAAACAAGCGGGTTTGGGTGCCTTCTAATGCCAAGCATGTTCGAAGATCCATTTCTGAGGGATTTCCCACATACATGATTAAAGAGCATGCCATCATCATTCGGGAAACGGAGTATTTCCGATGTCTTCACCGATCTAAGATCGGACCCACGATCTCCACTAAAAAATAGGGTCTTCAACACCGCCTGATCACGATCCAGAACGTAGAGATCTATTCCCTTATTTTCAGAACACATTACCTTCGATTTGACATGACGCGCTAGGGCATGAAGCTTTGGAAGGAATAAAGGAACTGCTTGCTTGGGAGTTTTCCTTGCTTTGAGCTGTTCGGCCGTCACTGCCTTAAGGTATTCCTTTA